TAATGGACAACTGTGGCTGAATGCCTTTTAACCACGTTCTCTACACTGTTAATTTCCCAGTGCAACAGAATTGCAAGCCTCCCTTGCAGCTAGGATGCTAGCACACCGTCTAGATTCTGCCAAGCAAATGCACCCACGTGAAACTTTGACTCAGAAGTGGGCAACGTGGAGGATCAGGCACGTGGGGAATACACATGATTCTGCTGCAGGGGGAGCAGCAGTGCCCAGCCCTCTGGGGAGAGCGGGGGCAGTTTCTGGCATCATGGTCTGTGCTGTGAGCCCCAGGGTCACTGGAGCAGAGCAGTCCCATGGAGTGCTTGGGCATTCCTCTGGGCTTCTAAGCCCAGATCCCTGGCTCTCCCAGATTTTGGGAGCCTTTATAACCCACAGAGCCTCTGGTCTGCTCCAGCCAGATGTTTGTTGGGACAGAATGTTTGTTGGGGTGCCCAGGGCAGAGAGCCCCAAGGCTGACTATGACTCCAGCCCAGTTGCGGGAGGCCTGTGGGGTGGGTATTAGGGCAGCTCCACTTATCTGATCTCTTCTGTAGCCCCAGGCCTTGGCAGGCTCTTAAAGTTCAAATGGGCCCCAGGGGGCTCATTTATTTTGTTCTCTTTTTTCCCTTTAGGGTATTCTTGTAAGACTACTATAATAGCATTTGGTACTAATGTAATTTTTATGTAAATTGTGTCATTTTCCATAAGCACATACATTCTTATAATGAGATATTCTGCTTTTATCCCTCATTATAAGGTAAAATAAAAATTTCCAGAGTGCTTCATACCACTTTTCCTAATTATCATCTTCAATAACTATGAATATTTTGAGCAAAAGAATCATAATTTCATTAGCAATTCCTGTATTACTAGATATTTATGTTGCTTCCAGCTTTCACTCTTTTAAAGATGTTGAAATGATCATTGTCATGCATAGAACTCTTTTTCTGTGCATCAGCAACCAGAAGAAAATGAATGAGTGCAAAAGATGGATATTTTAGTGGCTTTTCATATAACTGCCAAGCTGCCTTCCAGAAGGACTGTGCTGACACACATACAAATACCAGTAGGGCTGAGGACATCAGCTCTGCCTCCACTTCCCTAGCATCGTGCATGGGCAGATGCCAAGGTGGAGAGATTGTGGGAAATGTTTTCCTTGTCTTATTTCCTTTATTATTCACCATTTCCAGCCTCCCCTGCAGCTAGGGTGCAGGCACACAACCTAGACTCTGCCAAGCAAATACACCCATGTAAGACCTATGTGCAAAGAGAATATAATGGCTTTATCACTCTAAAAACTTCCTCAAAGATAAACGTGAAAGGAGGGAAATTTCAGGGTTTCAGAAAAATCTTACTGTGGCCATGACCATCCCTTAGAGTTAACTCTTACAAATAGTTAAGTAGGCAACCACCATGGTGATGTGTTTAAAAGCTTCCTCTTAGGCTAAAAGGGGTTCCTCCCTGGCTTATATCTCTTTAATCTCTGTTAAATGCCAGAGGGAAGCTTATTCTACATTTTTTTTTTTTTCCTGAGACTGAGTCTCACTCTGTTGCTCAGGTTGGAGTGCAGTGGCATGATCTCCGCCCACTGCAACCTCTGCCTCTCAGGTTCAAGCGATTCTCCTGCCTCATCCTCCTGAGTAGCTGGGATTACAGGTGCCCACCACCAGGCCTGACTAATTTTTGTATTTTTAGTAGAGACAGGGTTTCACCATGTTGCCCAGGCTGGTCTCAAACTCCTGACCTCAGGTGATCTGCCCACCTCAGCCTCTCAAAGTACTGGGATTACAGGCATGAGCCACCGTGCCCCACCATCTACCTATATCTTTATGTAAGTGATCCACATTTCCTTTTCAAAGTCAAAATCTCACAGCTTATCTAGAAACCCATGTCAGAAGCCATAAAGCAGATATTTGACCAAAACCACCATAACATTTTTGTTTTTTTGAGACGGAGACTTGCTCTTGTTGCCCAGGCTGGAGTGCAATGGTGCAATCTCAGCTCACTGCAACCTCCGCCTGTCAGGTTCAAGTGATTCTCCTGCCTCAGCCTCCTGAGAAGCTGGGACTGCAGGCACGTGTCACCACACCTGGCTAATTTTTGTATTTTTAGTACAGACAGAGTTTCACCATGTTGGCCAGGCTGGTCTCAAACTCCTGACCTCGTGATCTGCCTACCTCGGCTTCCCAAAGTGCTGGGATTATAGGTGTGAGCCAACATGCCTGGCCAACCACCAGAATCTAAAAACACAAACCAAAACTGAGAAAATATTTGTAATATTTTTCAATAGAATGATAGCCCCTCATCTCCCTTGAGCTTTCTTCTTTGACCCACAGTTACCTAGGAGTGTGTGGTGGGCAGCCCAAGGGGCCCCAGTGATTTTACCTCCTGCTAGTCACACCCTTGTGCAATCCTCTCCACATTGTACCAGGTTGGGTCTGTGTAACCAAGGGAATAAATGCAATGGTATCTCAATTCCGAGAGTAGGTTTTCTAAAGGACACTGGGGCCTCTGTCTTGCTTACTCTCTCTCTCAAATCATTCACTCTAGGTGAAGCCAACTGCCATGTCAAGAGAAGCTTTATGGAGAGGCCCATTTGGGAAGAAAATGAGGTCCCAGCCAACAGCCAGAAGGAAATGGAGGCCTCCTGCTGATAGCCATGTGAGTGAGCTTGGTAGCAGAGGCTAAGTCTCAATTATAAACCGAGCAACTGTTAGTTAGGACTACTCTGCTTTCCACTCTTGAATGTTTGTCCCAAAGAAACAGTCATTGGTATCTTGGTGATTGGGATATGTTCTGCAAAATGTGTCATGAGGCGATGTCATTATTGTATAAATATCATAGATAAGTGACAAACCTAGATGGTGTAGCCTACTACAACACCTAGGCTATATGGCATGGCCAGTAAGATCCTAGGGTACAAGCCTGTTCAGCACGTGACTGTGTTGAATACTGTGGGCAACTGTAACACAATGTTAAGTATTTGTGTATCTAAGCATATCTAAACATAGGTAAGGTACAATAAAAATAGGGTATTATAGTCTTATTGGACCACTATCATATACGCAGTCTTGTTGATCAAAATGTTGTCACGTGGTACATGATTGTAATTTAAAAATTCAAGGGCCAGCCTCAGCAGGTCATGCATGTAACCCCTGCACTTTAGGAGGCCAAGGTGGGAGGATCAATTGAGCCTAGTATGAGACCAGCCTGGGCCAACACAGCAAGACCCTGTCTCTTAAAAAAAAATTAGCTAGGTGTGGTGGCACACACCTACAGTACCAGCTACTAGATGCGGCAGGAGGATGGCTTGAGCCTGGGAGATGGAGGCTGCAGTTGAGCTATGATCAGGCCACTGCACTCTAGCCTGGTAAAAGAACAAGACCTGTCTCAAAAACAAAAACAAAAATCAGCTGGGCACAGTGGCTCACGCCTGTAATCCCAGCACTTCGGGAGGCTAAGGCAGGCAGATCACTTGAGTTCAGGAGCTCAAGACTAGCCTGGCCAACATGGTGACAACCCATCTCTACTAAAAATACAAAAATCAGCTAGGTATGGTGGTGTGCACCTGTAGTCCTAGCTACTCAGAAGCCTGAGGCAGGAGAATTGCTTGAACCCAGGAGGCAGAGGTTGCAGTGAGTTTAGACTGTGCCACTGTACTCCATCCTGGGTGGCAGATCGAGACTCTGTCTCAAAAACAAAACCAGAAAACTTGCTTAAGCCACTAAGCTTTGGGGTGAATTGTTATGCCGTAATAGATAACTGATACCAGTGTGCTGTTTATTTTCCCAACATTTAGGGGTTTCCTAGATACCTTACTGTTACGTTTGTATTTCTCACCAAATTTCTTCATTTAACCAATATTTTTCTGCCCCATTTGCTCACATTCCTCTCCTTTTGGAACTCCTATTGGGTAACTGTCAGACCTCCTGACGCTGTCACATAGGTCTCAGGAGCTCTGTCCCTCTCTTCCATCTTTTTTCTCCCTGCTCTGGGATCTCTAAGGGCAGTCCTGCTGTCATAACCTACAACTGTGACTATTCCTTACGGGGTCCCTGCCCTTGGCTGCCACTCCCCCGCCCTCTCCATTCCTTTGCCCTGGTGTCTTTCCTCCATGCTGCATTTCACTCGGATTCGATGTTACCTCCATTCTTTTAAGCCTACATGTTTTCTTCTCTTCTTTGCCTTGGTTGACAATCCCTTTCTTTCACCTAAATGACCATAATGCAGAATATAAGCAAATTTATTTTCCCCTGTTCTGTGGTGAAATTTAAAAGCAGCAGGCAATTAAGGTCCATTGTTTAGTGTGATCACACAGAATGGTTCTTAAATAAGTTTCGCCTCTGGTGTAACTGCTGGCGTAATTTTAAATGATCAATGAGAAGACTTAGCAATTCTTCTAAGTAAGCAAAACCAATTAGAGGAATGTTTTGTTGGTGTCAATGAGAATTTTGCCTGTGTTTTGAGGATGGAAATATATTTAACTTTTTCACCACAGCATTTAATACACTGTTAACCTGGTTTCACATGGTATAAGGAAAAACGATAAAACTCTAGCTGTTCTGCAGATTAGATCTAGAAACATCTGTCCTTTGAAAATAAGATACTAACTGCCTGAGGGTTTTTTTTACTTCACATACAAGCATTAACATAAACATATTAAATACTGAGTTTACTACTTTCCAACCAAACCAAGACCTAGAGAGTTTGATAATCTTTTCTATTTGGTTGCCATCAGAATGTCTATAACTTTGCATACGTCAGCCTGCTGGGAACTAACACTTGAATTTTTAACCACTTAGGAGTTAGGAATCCCCTTGAGAATCTGAGAAAAGCTACAGACTCTGTCCCTAGGAAATGGCAAATATACATTTTGCATACAATTTCAGCAAGTTTGTAAAGGATCTGAGTCCTTCCATGGAGCCCAATCGAGGAGGTCTTGCTCTAAGAGCTCTGAACTCTGGCACTGAAGGAAGCTCACATGTTTCTCAGGCACGCTTTCTTACCATTGCTCTTGCTTCCTCACGAATGATTGGAACAGAAAGGATGCTGTACAGAGCTCCATTCACATACGGCTGGATCTTTAAGTGGAGGAAAACAGACAGTTATTTGCAAGTTTTCAAATACTGCACAAATCTCTAACAAACACCACACTGCAGAACAATCTGGCAAATGGGGAGAGTGGGCGTTCCTATCCTTGCAGCTCTCTGGCACTCCAGGATGCACGTTTCCATGTGACAGACATCTCTATCCCCATGCCTGAGTGACCGCTACCACTGAGTCTAAAACCAGATTCATGACTCCTCCCAAAGCTCACTCCTGCTGCATTTCATTGCTTAATTAGTTACTTTTAACCTCCTGATCACTCAGGCTAGAAACTTTGGAGTCATCTTTGATTTTTTTTGGTTCTGTCTCCAATGCTCCGTCTTCAAGGCTCTTTGATAGGAACCCTTCTTTTTAATATGCACTGCTACTGTCTTTGTTCAGACATCATTGTCCATGACCTAGGCTATATCAAATCTCCAAAACAGTCTTTCTACCCTCAATATTTACCCTTTAATTTAACTATCGGATCACTACGAACATTCTACAGTGTGGGGTAAATCATCCCTCTCTCCATCTTGGAAACCTTCCACAGAGCCCAGTTGGAAAGGCGGACTCCTTATGTGGCACACAGGATCTTCAAGGGGTGGCCTCTATCTCATGCCCTCTGCTTCTCCTTCCCTGCCACCACAACGTGTCCACACTACTTAAGGGATGCCCCCACCAGGCTGTTCCACGTTTCAGCCAGGTTCTTGCCAGGAATGGTCTTCGCACATAAAATGAACCTTGAAAATTCAGCCCACACACGGCGCTCACTTCCGCTTCTTGTACATCCCTCCACTACAGCACTGGAGGCAGTATCCTTTTAAATTCACACTATGTCCCCACCATTCTGAGCTTTTTGTGGACAGGACCCACGCTTTACTTGCATGCACAGGACATGAAGCATGGCAGGTGCTGATAAGCAAAGTCCCTTTTCAGCGGGCTGTACGCTATGCCCACCATGGCAATGGAAGAGGGCTCCTTTCCCATTGCCCTCCCTCAGCACTGGACTTCATTAGCACTTTCCATGCTTGCCAAGCTGATGGGTAAAAGGCATCCTACAGTTGTTTTTCTTTTCAGTTCCCTGATACCAGCACGACTGAACATCTTTTCATGCTTCTGGGCCAGCACCATTTTGTGAACTGTCCAGTCATGCCCTTTACCCCTTTTTCCTATTGGATTGCTTGACTTTTACTTATGAATTTATGCTAGTTCTTCAACTATTAGGAATATTAAATTTTGGTCACATGTGATGCAACTTTTCCTCAGGGTTTCATTCATTTTTTGACTTTGATTATAGCATCTTTTCCAAACAAGAAATGTAATATTCATATAGTCAATTATGTGCATCTTTTTCTTTATTTTCGTTTTGTCTTTCAAGATCATGACTACTACAGGATATATGAATATTGCATTTATTTGTGTAGCAAACACATTTCTTGGCTCTAAAATATATATATATATACCTAAAAAAAATATATTTTAGAGCCAAACTATATATGTATTTATATATTTTAGATATAAATATTTTATATTTATATTTTAAAACTACGTATATATGTATATATATCTAAAAATATATATATGTATATATATCTATCTAAAATATATTTATTTACGTAGTTTTTCTAGCTCATTTTCTTTTTATATTTTTCTTTTTTTTTTTTTTGGTGACAGAGCCTTGATCTGTCACCCATGCTGGAGTGCAATGGCATGATCTCAGCTCACTACAACCTCTGTCTCCCGGGTTCAAGTGGTTTTCATGCCTCAGCCTCCTAGTAGCTGGGATTACAGGGACATGCCACCATGCCTGGCGAATTTTTGTTTTTTCAGTAGAGATGGAGTTTCCACACGTTGGCCAGGCTGGTCTCGAACCCCTAGCCTCAAGTGATCCTCCCACCTCCGCCTCCCAAAATTGCTGGGATTATAGGCATAAGCCACCGCGCCTGGCTTGTCCAGCTTATTTTCAAAGCCAGTGCACTGGTAACAGTTAATGACATGATTCGAGTCCTTTGGTCTATTCAGTTTTCAGAGCAGACATATTGGTTCCAGTACTTGAAACTAACCTTTATTATGAGATGGAAGAATATGTTTCCCACTGGTTTCACCTGCCTGAGCTGAATAAAGTGAGGAACAGAGTTCATTCAGGCCTAGAAGTAGTTAAGAGCTTACTAGTTTTAAAATACAATATGAATGTCACAAACTGCAAAAGCCACCAAACATCCACTTGCTAAAGAAGTCACCCCAATCAGTGGATAGAACTAGTATAAAATGTGAATGGAATGACCAGAATGGGAGCTGTCTGCTTGCAATGGGAACGAACAGGCTGAGCATGGTGGCTCACACCTGTAATCCCAGCACTTTGAGAGGCCGAGGAGGGTGAATCATAAGGTTAGCGGTCTGAGACCAGCCTGGGCAAAATGATGAAACCCTGTCTCTACTAAAGATACAAAAAATTAGCTGGGTATGGTGGTGTGTGCCTATAATTGCAGCTACTCGGCAGGCTGAGGCAGGAGAATTGCTTGAACTTGGGAGGCGGCAGAGGTTGCAGTGAACTGAGATCGCGCCACTGCACTCCAGCCAGGCAACAGAGTGAGACTCTGTCTCAAAAAAAAGAAATGGGAACACAGACATGTGGAAATCAAGTGGTACTCAATTGTGTCCTGCTCAGATATACCTCTGGGACTCAGCTGTCTAAAGTGGTCAGATTTTTGTTGAAGCCTTGTCATGGTTTCTGCAATGGCATTTGTAGAAGGCAAGTGACAGAATAATCATATTTATTTGTTTCTGTTAAATTGTTTACTCATTCCTCTACTTTATTTAAAAAGATCCTGAGGCCCATAAATTAAAAATGTAGAAAATCACACCTGGTATTACAGGGACACTGGTGAGAGCAAACGCTAGTACAGCCCATTCTGGAGGACAACTTGGCCGCACTCAGTGACCTGACACTGACGTATGCCGGCAGCCAGCAGTGATGAGTGTCTAGCATCCGTGGAAGCTCTGGCACAGGCTCCCATGAGGCAGGTGCAGCCACGTCCACTGAGGACTGCTGTGGCAACAGACTAGAAGGCACTCAGAGTATACAGGCAGGTAAGTAAAATGGCAGGGGTGCAAACAAGGAGCTAGTTTGCAGTAGTGACACTTAATGTACCAGACGTTATGTAAAGCAACATAGATTCTGGACCTAACAAGCCAAGGTAAAAGCCATAAACAGAATGAGGCCTACAGGACAATCAATTCCTGCAAATTCAACACACATGTATGGAGCCTCCATCCATAACCATGGAGATACATTAAACACCCCAAGAGGGTGGATTGTAGGGGAGCAACACCGGAGGGGCCAGGCACAGGCCAGTGGCCAGTGGGCCACACAGATATGGACGGAAAGAACAACATCCTGCTTCTGACACCCAAAATTCTAAAAATTATAAAGGATTTCCAGTTGCTTCTGAAAATCCCTGGAGGAGGCAGAACATGTACATTTTTCAAATACAGCAACTGTCCTGGGCCAGCTGTGTGCCTGTGGGGTCACAGGCATTGGGTCCCCAGTGCAGCCTCCCCTAAGCCCAGTGCCAGCAGCACTGAATGTGTACCTCGTGGTTTTCATGGCCAAGAAGATCCGAAAGGACTTTGAGAACGAGGCCTGACACCTTGGCACACATGTTCTTCCCTATGGGAAACAAACCAAAGCTAAACATGACATGTCTAAACCCAGAAGCACAATTTTAGGTCAGATAGACTTGGGGACAAATCTTGGCTCCTCTGCCCATAAGCCGTATGACCTCGGGTGAGTCACAAAACCAATCTGGGCCTCAATTTCCTCCTCTTTACCACAGGAATTATTATTCATACGTACTTCAAAGGATGATGCAAAATTAAGTAAACTAATGTATTGTAAAGGACTCAGTGTATCACAGAACCTTGGTGCTCAGTAAACCACCCCAAGTGGTGGCTATTACCCCAGTCAGAGCACAGAGCAATTCATTACAGTGAAAGCATAATACATTATAGAGCAATGTTCTCCCTCCCACACACTATACGGCCATTACAAAAGACCATACGGGCATTTTAGTAGTTCCAAACATCATCATAAAAATCGCTGCAAATATGGTGACGATGATGATGTAAAGCTAATTCTAATCTGATGAATGTATTAGAAGACTTCTGGCTGGGTGCAGTGGTTCACATCTGCAATCCCAGCACTTTGGGAGCGTGAGGTGGGCAGATCACTTGAAGTCAGGAGTTCAAGACCAGCCTGGCCAACATGGTGAAACCCCCTCTCTACTAAAAATACAAAAATTAGCCAGGTGTGGTGGTGGGCACCTGTAGTTGCAGCTACTCAGGAGACCAAGGCAGAAGAATTGCTTGAACCTGGGAGGCAGAGGATGCAGTGAGCCAAGATCACACCACTGCACTCCAGCCTACGAGAAAAAAAGTGATGTCACCAAAAAAAAAAAAAAAAAAAAAAAAACCTAGGACTTTTTACACATGCTGTTTTTTAAAATGACTGAAATAATAGTCATTTACTCAGTCAACAACAAACAGTTACATGGTTCAGTCTACAAGATGGAGGTGAAGATGCTTCCAACAAGTACTCCTGAGCCAGCTATTTATCCAGAGAGCCTTTTTCTCCAAACACCGGCTGCCCAGGCGGGCAGGGGAAAGCCACAGCCTGGACTTGGTACTTCTTCTAAAGAAGCTTCTTTGATCCCAGGTAACAATTTAAATGAGACATTACCTGCGGAAAGCTAAAATCACTACCTTTAGTGATCAAGCGTATAAATGACTTGTGCCCACAGAGAAATCTCTACCTCCAGGGCTGGGGCAGGGAAAAGCATGTGATTCAGGGAGGAAGCGGGGTTTAGTGTCACTACTATTGCAGCCAACTTAATCCTATAGGATCCTGGGAACATACTTCTTTGTCTTCAGAAAAGGGGATAACATTCTTTTTTTTTTTTTTTTGGGAATAGAGTCTCGCTCTGTTGCCCAGGCTGGAGTGTAGCAGCATGATCTTGGCTCACTGCAACCTCTGCCTCCCGGGTTCAAGCACTTCTCCTGCTTCAGTCTACTGGGTAGCTGGGATTACAGGCGCCTGCCACCATGCTTGGCTAATTTTTTGTATTTTGGTAGAGACGGGGTTTCACTGTGTTGCCCAGGCTGGTCTCAAACTCCTGACCTCATGATCCGCCTGCCTCGGCCTCCCAAAGTGCTGAGATTATAGATGTGAGCCACCGCACCCAGCCAGGTGTCATATTCTTAACTTCCTACCTTTAAATGATGCAATAAAGAAAAATGTAAATGCACTTAGTCTCCTCTTAATGTGGGCACTATGTATATACAAAACATTTTTTCCAGGGCGAAAAGGGATTTTGGCTTCAGGGATTCAACAGCTTGATACCTGGTTGGAAATGCTTTCCACTCTTCTTTCAGTTTTCTATGAGACTAAAAGCAAACCATATCAGGCTCACTGGAAACCTAGCTTCGAGGGTCAAGATCTCTTCCCCTTTCTGCACCAGAATGAGGGTTGGGGGGCTGTGAGACCTGCGCTGCGGAGACAGAGGTTCATGAGCAAAGCCACCGAGTACTCCAGCATGTAGTCAGACAGGCAGTCTGGGTCCTTCAGAACATCAACCAGCCAGAAGATAAGGCCATCTTGAATCATTGCTGTCTGCAGCGGGCGCCTGGGAAGAAACAGCCTAAGGTAAACAAAAATTGCCAAGAAACTTTTCATATAAGAGGAAATAGTAGGCTGGGCACAGTGGCTCTCCCAGCAATTTGGAAGGCAGAGGTGGGCGGATTACCTGAGGTCAGGACTTTGAGACCAGCCTAGACAACATGGTGAAACCCCGTCTCTACTAAAAATACAAAAATTAGCTGGGTGTGGTGGCGGGTGCCTGTAATCCCAGCTATTTAGGAAGCTGAGGTATGAGAATCATTTGAACCCAGGAGACAGAGGCTGCAGTGAACCCGGACTGCATCACTGCATTCCAGCCTGGGCGATGGAGCAAGACTCCATCTCAAAAAAAAAAAAAAAGAGCGAGAGTAAACAGTAATGTGAATGCATATCAAAAATGACAAACTTATAGGAGACACAGAGTCTGAGGGATGTTTTTGTTAAACCCATACAATTGAAACAACAAAAATTCTTTATTATTTAAGGAATATTTATTAAGGGTTTAAATAAAGATAGGGCGGCAAGGAGGCCTCCTACTTTGAAAGTTTCCTCTTCAATATTTAAAATTAGCACAGCATTACTTCAAATATCTAATAAATATTTATTAGTAGCTTTTGGTTTACTTAACCCAGGAAACAGGACCATAGAAATACTTCTTTGACAAACAGACTCTTACCTAAACTCTCCATAATCCAGCTCTAGACACTCTGAACTGTATGAAAATAGAGAAAAAAGGAGGAGCAAAAGCCTAACTTAACATCATTCTGATTCAGATTTCTATAGAGTAAGGGTAGTTTAATGACCTGGTTAATGCAAATTATAAGGAACGATTTTCCACCTGAAATCCAGGTGTAGACTCTTACAAAATCCAATCCCTCATCAAAATGTGTGATGGTGATGTCATCACGTTAGCCTTAAGAATTACTGAGGCTGCCGGACATGGTGGCTCACGCCTGTAATCCCAGCACTTTGGGAGGCCGAGGTGGGTGGATCACAAGGTCAAGAGATCGAGACCATCTTGGCCAACATGGTGAAACCCCGTCTCTACTAAAAATATAAAAATTAGCTGGGCATGGTGGCATGCGCCTGTAGTCCCAGCTACTTGGGAGGCTGAGGCAGGAGAATTGCTTGAGCCTGGGAGACGGAGATTGCAGTG